CTGTCTTTTAACAGGGAAAATATGTCAGTGTACCTTGACAGAGCATTTGAGATAGTGTCTGGACAAACTGAACTGATTCCTAACTTCACTGTGCTGCATCTGTGCTCTGCTCATATCATGAAGGCTGTGTCACAAGCATTTGGGAAAAAAACTGTAGACAGAGGCACACAGGAATATGCAACATTCTGTTTTGCGTACATCCTGAACTGCACAAGTATGCAGGAAGCCCTTGATGTTTTTTTATCATATGTGTGTGCTTTTTGATGCAGAGGAGTACACTCATTCGGTGAAACAGAGCAAAATGTACCTCGACGAGTGCATTTTGCAAACTCGGGACTTGAAACTGGAGGAAAGTGGACATATAATGGGAGAGGAGGAAAGCAAAATAGAAACAAATGCTCATAGCATTATTGGAAAGTCCCATTTTACACAAGCTTTTCAAGTCAGGCGGGACCAAGCAGAGTGTGACATTCTCTCTGACGATGCTGTTCATGTAAAAAACCACTACCTCTGTCCTGGTGTCATTGATGCACTGTTACAAAACTACATGGGGATCTTCCCATTGTGGAGTGGTTTGTTGCTTGGGGATCTGTCGCGACATAGAAAAGGTACCTCTAAAAAAGATGGAAGTCATAAAACCAGGGATACGAACTGCCATGTTGAGCTCTGGTTTGGGTTGGTCAAACACTCCATCCTTTTAAAAAAAAGTACCTGAGACCAGCTGAGTTCGTCTCCAACATGTATGCCTCAATACAAGGAAGATATATAGAGCACATTGAGCAACACAATCTGCCAATGCATATTCTGGAGAAAAACTTTGGACATCCTAGCAGGCCAGATGATGACCACGAGGAACAGTGGAACAAGCGGGAAAGTTCTGCTGGTCACACCAAGTCCAAGTCCAAGTACTTCAATCCACCAAAAACACTACCCAACCCCAAGAGCCCACCTGCCACAAAGGTGAAGAAAAGAAAAGTGGACCAACAGGAACAAGACGCACAGGGAAATGTGAGTTTCTCTAAGACTTACTATTCGAAGTGTGTAAATTATTCTCCAGCATTTTAATTGTAACAATGGAATAAGTAAATATTGTCAGAAAGTAAAGCATGGACTACATTGGTAAATAGTGAGGTGAAGGACAAAGGACATGAAGTATTATAACCCAAGATGATTAGGTGCATGTTGTAGGGGGAGAATATGAAGATGAAAAATGTAAATGTAAATACAGCATACAAACTTATAACAGAAACTAGATTTCCAAATCAGACTTGAAACTGCAATTACAGTTTCTGTTCTATTAATGTCCATCCATCCATCCATCTTCTCCCGCTTATCCGTGGTCGGGTCGCGGGGGTAGCAGTTCCAGCAGAGAGCCCCAAACTTTCTTTTCCCTGGCGACATCAACCAGCTCTGACTGGGGGATCCCAAGGCGCTCCCAGGCCAGCGAAGAGATATAATCCCTCCACCTGGTCCTAGGTCTACCCCTTGGTCTCTTCCCAGCTGGACGTGCCTGGAACACCTCCCTAGGGAGGCGCCCAGGTGGCATCCTAACTAGGTGCCCGAACCACCTCAACTGGCTCCTTTTCGACGCGTAGGAGGAGCGGCTCAACTCCGAGTCCCTCCCTGATGACCGAACTTCTCACCTTATCCCTAAGGGAGACACCAGCCACCCTGCGGAGAAAACCCATCTCGGCCGCTTGTATCCGCGATCTCGTTCTTTCGGTCATGACCCATCCTTCATGACCATAGGTGAGGGTAGGAACGAAAATGGCCCGGTAGACAGAGAGCTTTGCCTTCTGGCTCAGCTCCCTTTTCGTCACAACGGTGCGGTAAAGCGACTGCAGTACCGCTCCCGCTGCTCCGATTCTCCGGCCCATCTCACGCTCCATTGTTCCCTCACTCGAGAACAAGACCCCGAGATACTTGAACTCCTTCACTTGGGGTAAGGACTCATTCCCTACTTGAAGTGGACAGTCCATCGGTTTCCTGCTGAGAACCATGGCCTCAGATTTGGAGGTGCTGATCCTCATCCCAGCCGCTTCACACTCGGTTGCGAACCGATCCAGTGAGTGCTGAAGGTCGCAGACCGATGAAGCCATTAGAACCACATCATCTGCAAAAAGCAGTGGTGCAATCCTTAGTCCACCGAACTGCAGACCCCCTCCCCCACGACTACGCCTCGAAATCCGATCCATGTATATTACAAACAGGATTGGTGACAAAGCGCAGCCCTGGCGGAGGCCAACCCTCACCGGAAATGTGTCCGACTTACTGCCGAGGACCCGGACACAGCTCTCGCTTTGGGAGTACAGAGATTGGATGGCCCTGAGTAGAGACCCCCTCACCCCATACTCCCGCAGCACCTCCCACAGTAACTCCCTGGGAACTCGGTCATACGCCTTCTCCAAGTCTACAAAACACATGTAGACCGGATAAGCGTACTCCCAGGCCCCCTCCAGGATCCTTGCGAGAGTAAAAAGCTAATCCGTCGTTCCACGACCAGGACGGAATCCGCATTGTTCCTCCTCAATCTGAGGTTCGACAATCGGCCTGACCCTCCTTTCGAGTACCTTAGAGTAAACTTTCCCGGGGAGGCTGAGTAGTGTGATGCCTCTGTAATTGGCACACACCCTCTGATCCCCCTTTTTAAAAAGGGGAACCACCACCCCGGTCTGCCACTCCTTCCGTACTGTTTCCGACTTCCACGCAACGTTGATGAGACGTGTCAACCATGACAGTCCCTCAACACCCAGAGCCTTCAGCATTTCCGGGCGGATCTCATCCACCCCCGGGGCTTTGCCACTTTGGAGTTGTTTGACGACCTCAGTGACCTCCCCCCGGGAGATTGGTGTTGATCCCCCGTCATACTCCAGCTCTGCCTCTAACATAGAGGGCGGAGTTGTCGGGTTCAGGAGTTCCTCAAAGTGTTCCTTCCAACGCCCTAACACTCCATCAGTTGAGGTCAACAACGTCCCATCCTTACTGTACACAGCTTGGATGGTTCCCTGCTTCCCCCTCCTGAGGTGTCGGACAGTTTTCCACAACAACTTTGGTGCCGCCCGAAAGTCCTTCTCCATGTCTTCTCCGAACTTCTCCCACACCCGCTGCTTTGCCTCGGCCACGGATGAGGCTGCTGCCCTTCGGGCCTGTCGGTACCTTGCAACTGCCTCGGGAGTCCCCCGGGATAACAAATCCCTGAAGGCCTCCTTCTTCAGTCGGACGGCTTCCCTGACCACCGGTGTCCACCAGGAGGTTCGAGGGTTACCGCCCCTTGAGGCACCTAGGACCTTGAGACCACAGCTCCCCGCCGCGGCTTCGGCAATAGAGGCTTTGAACACCGACCAGTCTGGTTCAATATCCCCAACCTCCACAGGAATGCCCGAAAAGCTCTGCCGGAGGTGTGAGTTGAAGGCCTCCTGAACTTGGGCCTCCTCCAGATGTTCCCAGTTCACCCGAACTACACGTTTGGGCTTACCATTAATGTCATTTAGTGAAAACTCTAAAAGGGACTGAGGTTAAATGCATAAACATGGACAGTTTAATTATATGTTGTGTATGTAGCTTTGATGGTGCATATACAAAAACAAGGCCTTCACCCAAACATTCAAGATTGTTAACCCTCTGGTGTCATTCAAATGCACTACCCTAATTAGTCATTCGGGACAAAAATGTCCAGAGTGATACCGGAAGGTTAAAAGATTCCTCAAGTGTCCATATTAAACAGACTGCATCTATTTACCCTCAATCCTAACTTGCAGTTGACCTGGCTGTGGAAAAAAAAGGACACAGAGGTGGTCGTGGCAGTGCTCCCCTCACAGATGAAAGGACGCATCTTACTTATCCGCCACTGTGAGCTATGCTCACTTCGACCCCACCAGTGGTTGACAGGGGAGGTACGTGACTACATGTTTCAAGTGTCTGAAGTTTCACTCTGTGTCATTTTCTTTATCTAGCATTTAAAAAAAGTATCTGAAAAAAATGTCTCGATACTTTTGTCAGTCACAAGATTCTCAAAGTTGCAGGAAATGAAAGTTCAGTATAACTGGGAATATGCATTAATTGGCAAATTGTTATGATCTTTTTTGCCAGGTAATTGAAGGCGTGTTTCATGTTGCTGTCGACAAATTCTACGTTGTGAACAAAATGTACTTGCTAAATCACTACACAGCAGGTGTCATTTTGTTCGGGGACAGAACTCAGCTAACATCTCACAGTTTACCGAAGGTAATGTGTGTGGTCTGTGTATGTTTATGTGTGTGGTGTGTTGTGTTTGTGCATGGTGATGCTGTAGGGGGAAGTAGGTGTGGATTTGATTTGTGGGCTCACACATTAGGCACATGGAGTGAAGCATTGGCTGAGGTCTTAAATAGGAAATTAGCTGAGATTATTTTACTTTATCCTCTCTGAAACTATACTCACTAGTTAAATCACCTGATAAATCTACTTACTATTGAATTCCCATACCAACACTTGTTTTAAGCACAACAAATGAATGGCACAAGAACATAATTGTCAGACTAATGTTGTTGTTATTTTTACCTTAGCCTTCAAGTTTGTTTTAATCCTTTATTTGATGCCATTATAGGTCAACTTTGATAACTATGAAGCTGTCCTGTCCTTTGTACTTGTCTACAACAACCACTGGAAGTTGCTGGTTTGTAATTATTTTGTTATTGTATTATTTCTGTTATTTATTTTTGTTTTTCTGTTATGTTTATATTCATGTGGAACCTACTTGCAGCAGGTCACCCTTGAAAAAGAGATCAATGGTCTCAATGGGATTCACCTGCATAAGTAAAGGTTTGAAATGAAATGAAAAGCACAAGTGAAACCAAAAATCTTTTTGATGAAAAGTGCTTTTACTTGTTTTGTTCTCTCACAGTACATTCATGCCAAAACCAGCACCGTATTCCTGGTGGATCCAGCTCAAAGCATCAAAGAGCTTGATGACTCCGAACATACTGCCAAAAAAATACAGTAAATCAAAATTCAATAGATATTTGAAAATTCAAGTAAAAACTATATTTTAACGTAAAAAATGTGTCACATTTAGTTACATTGATACTCACAAACAGCATTGAAAGCATTTTAAACAGTCTGATACAGTCTGTGTTCAGACAGTGATATCTATAGCTGACCTGTGGCTGCCCCTTATATAAATAAATGGTCATATGGTGAATACAAACAGTATGAATTTCTGTTACATTATCTTTAGGAGCCACATAATTAGAAATGTAAAGTGTGTTAACATTATCCTTTCTCAGGGAGTACTTCAGGATGAGGAGGACACGCCACAGCATAACAGACTGGGTGGATGTTAAGTGGAAGGGAGGCGTTATGGGCCACCCACTTCAAAAGGATGGATGTAGCTGTGGTGTCGTTGTTGTGAAGGTGAGCTGAAGAGATTCTGTTTTCATCCAGTTAACAAGCAGAGTTTTTAATGTGAAAGACAGTTTAATGCAAGGACAGATTAAAAAATCTGTCAAAAGTAGTGGTCGACCGATAAGGGTTTTTTAAAGGCCGATGCTGATCCCCATAATATTTAGCAGGCAGGTTGGCCAATGGACTGTAAAGGAATATTTTAGTCTGATGCTTAGCTGACCTGAGAAACTTCACATGAGTGACTACTCTTTCTCTGTGTGGGTGAGGGGCTTGGGGCACTTAAGGAGGGGCAATATATGCAGTCTTTGTTCTTGGTGTCTGGTAATGATTAGGGGAAAGGGCGGGCTGTTTAGACCCCTCCTTTGAAAGATATATAGAGATGTTTCTGTCTTTTGTGTTTAGAGTTAATTTTGGCAGCTTGCATTTCAACAGTGCGAGTTGCTTTGTTAATCCTCCGGCCGTTTTGTCTCTCAATAAATATCAGTGTATTCACTAAGGCGAATCCAGTTTCCCTCATTTCATGATTGGCTCAACATTGCTGCAAAGAAGTTTTTACTTCACATGGACAATATACAGTATAATGCCGATATCATGTTGTTGTTTATTGTATTTTTCACAACTAACAACAATTGGATTATGGCACAACATTGCTGAACTTAAATTAACAGTTATTTAACACTAATGTAGTATTCACTTGAACACAGAAAGTTTCATTGACAAAACTTCGCTTCTGAATATCTCAAAATTCCAATAATAGGACCGGTCTATATCAATAATCAAAAGTTTTGGGAGGCATTCTAGTCAAGGGTGGATGTCTTCTATAATGTGTCTCATGTTTTTGTCTGTATCTGTATTACTATACAATAAAGAAGAAAAACCCTCCATAACATAAGTGTTTGTTTAGATGGCAAAGGCAGTCATGGAGTCCTTCCCTCTGATCCCGAATGTGAATTTCGAGTGTTCGAAGAAATACATGAAACAGGAGAGGAGAGAACTGGCTCTCGAAATCCTTGAGGCATCAGGTAAATACATATGAATATATGTATATATGTGTGTCTGTATGTATATATATATATATATATATATATATATATATGGATGTATGTGTATAGAAGCTGACATACATATGTATTCAGAGGCGCGGGAAGGTATTTTGAGTGGAGGTGCTGAGGTGCTGGACTCAGTGAACACTATTACGGACACTATAGACTAGAGTACGCACAAAAGCACTCCCCACACGCAAATACACAGTACACCCGCGACTGTTACAACTCTCTCTCCCTCTCTCACACACACTAAATGCGCTATTTCCGCACACACACACACACAGAGCTTGAATGACACAAGTACACTTTTATTTCCATGCAACTCTCTGATTGGTCTGGTGTCTTGCCTCTGTTGCATTCACTGAATACGGGAAATTACAGTCCTATCGTCCTCTCTAGTGTCTTGATGAGGTTCACGTAAAGCACGGTTAATGTATTATATTATGGAGATAGAATTGTCCGGGGCTACAGAAAAAACATTCGGGGCAGGCCAAAATATTATTTTACCAACAATGTGGAATTTATTGGCTACATATTACACAGATTATGCACAACGGGAGCAGCAATAACCGTCAAATAATAATTCAGACAGGGGAGCTCCGCACCCCCCTTCCTGCGCCCATGCATGTATTGTTATCTTGTTTCAGTCTTTGATGAGCACACTTATTGTGCTATGTGTGCTGCCTTAAGGCCTCCAGTATCTGGATCTCCCATCACAGACTGGGTGAGCTGTTGTAAGGTTGTAAGGTAACCATATAATTTTTCACATATGTTAGTGTCAGAGCACTTACTGAACAGAATTATATAACTTGATGCACAAAACAGTTTTGTAACAAGGGTGTAATTATTTTTTGGAAAATATGCTCAACCAATTGGTCCAATTGGCCTTCATATTGTAAACTAGCAATATGACTTTTTCAGAGAAGTTTTCCCATAAAATATGGTAAATAAATGGCTAGATTCATGGTAATATTACTAAATCTCGTACTGCCTTATGAGTCTCAGAGTTGTAAGAGTGATAATAATTCATAAAGCAGCTTTCATGCATGGCATTCAGCCCAAAGATGCACACAGATGAGCAAGTTATGCCAACACAGGAAATAGACATGTGCTGTTAGGCCAGTGGTTTCCTGTTAGGCCAATTCAGCATATACATTAAGATGAGCAAGTTCTTTTTTTATAATGAAAAACACTTAAAGGTGGGGTATGTCATTTATTTCAGAAACACTTTTGTTATATTCCATGGAATGCTCTTAACCTCTTAAGCCCCACGGACCCGAGTTCGGGTCTGAAAATGCTATATATGTAGCAACAGTGCTATATCTGAAGTGTCATTCATGAAACTATTAATATTCCATACCCATCTGACCGGAGGAAACTTGGCTAACTGACGATACGAAAAAAAAAAAGTTTTTCGAAAAAGTCTCACAAGAAGCCTCTAAATGAGCCCATGGCAAAAACGGGCAATTGCTATTTTTGCTCATAACTCACAAAAACGATCATTTATAATTCATACTTTCTGCACAAACAACACATATTCTGAAAGCTGAGATTCCACAGATTCCATGGGTATACAACCCATCACTACAGGCACAACACTAACCGAGCTAGCAGCCAGAACATAGCAAGTAAACAATATCAGTTTTCAAATCCATGACAATAATTAGGTCTTACCTTGGCTGTTTTGTGATCAAAAGTTGTGTTCAAAGGAATAAAAACGCTGCTCAAGGTTAATCCAATCCTTTCATTCACGGGCACGGCAGAAGAGTAGGTCCAACGATTAACAGTCCGTGGCTTCAGCTGCGGGAGATGCAGTTTACGCATAGCTCCCCCTCCGCAGGCGTAATGTATTTACGTATTTTGAAACTGCCACTTGATTTGATTGGCTCTAACGATTAAAAAAAGGTGTCAATCACCCAAATCGACCAATGGGTTCCAGAGATAGGATCTTGCGTAAGTATAAATAAAGGCAGTATAGCTGTTTTACGCACACACCCACTCTTTTTACACAGCATAGTATAGCATAGCATGTCCCGTCCCGCGGCGACAGGAGAGCAGAGAACGGCAGATCGATCAGCGAAACAGCAGGATTTGTTTTCTTTGTCTTCATTGTAACAATGGCAGCCAGAAATAAGACTTTTTTTGTCCGTCGAGGAGGCATTGGACATCGTATTTCAGGACTGTCCGTCGGAAGATAGTGATCTCGTCACGCATAAAGGGGACAGTAATGACTGATTATGAACCTCCGTCACCGGAAAGGTATGTAATCTCTCTGTTTGTATCTATTACTTATTTATTTGGTGTAAGAGTATTCATCTGTTTTTATCTTTTTGTTATTCATTTGGTGTAAGAGTGTATTCATCTATAGTAATTTCACACACGTGACAATAACACGACGGCATCCATCTTATGATATAATGTTCTTTCACACACTCAACAACAAACAAAGAAGATGGATGCCGGTTCTTGTTGTTGAAATAAACAAGACACATACCAACCCAGTCTCACGGCATTTCGTGTTCACCAACACGATTTTTAATCTATTGATTCGTGTTCACCAACACGATTTGCCCCTTTTTTTCGTGTTGCACAGCACGATTTTAAAAGCAATGTATTTCTACTGCCTGCAGCAGGTCTTTTTCTCCGGTCGGGTCGAGGAAGACCGGAAGCTGTGTGGTTCATAAAAACATGTTCTTACTCAATATCAAGCCACAGTTATTGCTTTTATTTTAAATCGTATAATTTCTGACTTTTGTTGCCGTCTGTGAGGAAAATAAATGGGGCTCAGAGCCTCAGGATACTGAAATCTGTATTTTTAAAATATTTTTTTCCTTCTAATTTGTTATTCTTTTCAAAATAACACACTGTTATTTACTCACCAATAACACACAATTATCCTTGCTTTTATTTATTGGTTTAATTCCATAATCTCTGGCTTTTTTGGCGTCCGTCAGGAACTGAATTTCAAAATAAAAATAACCGCAAGATCCTCAGCTATGGTTTTAAGCTCGCTTATTGGATGTTTTAGCCGCAATGCATGCTGGGATTTGTTGTTTATATGATATGAAATCTGGAAAACATTTTAAAATAATAAAATAATACTTAATTCCGAGCGCTCTTGCTTTTCTCTTTGAAAGTCATCACATAACGGCATTGTAATACACGGTTCGGCTGCATTGTATATTACAGATCTGCCGTAGTTCTTTATTTATAGAGCCCTGATGAGAAGACCTTTGGGAAAACTGAGAAAATGCCGCCGAAACTGAATACTTGACGTGGATCATAAATATATTCAACAATTAAACAACATCTTCAATTTCTCTTCACACAATACGTCTCCTTGCAGTATCAACACTAATTCGGCTGACTTTTACATTTGATCTAATTCACAGATAGGTTATATTTAAACCATAACGGTGCACAGCTGATATAAAAGGACTGTAGTTTTTAAAGATATTACTGATTTTCTTTGAATGTAAGAATGTAAATACTGAGTCTGAAATAGTATAGCAATATGCTGTAAAATTATGTGAAAGCATGCATAAAACTACACATTTTCAGAAAACAAAAGTGTCCTACACTAATAATACAAAGTTATTATGGCTGTGTGTACCTTGTGTGCACCGCCTAGTGGTTACAGCACGTTATTGAATTATTGTGTTTTATTTGTTAAAAATATTAAGAGTACATACTTTCATAGGGGGAAAGTATAAATATAGAATATAAAAAATCAAGAAGATACTATAAGTGATCTCTACAATAAAACAGTTTAGTGCAGAATGTACAAAGATATTAATAGGAGGAGGTGCAAAACAGAAAAACTAATTAACCTTTATTTAAACATTAAATAACAGATTCAGGTCTTCTTTTAAATAAGAAAAAAACTTTGGGGGTATCTATCTACAGATAAATATTAAGCCTGACAAAGTACTTAACGTCTAATATATTGCTTTCCTGCAATGTTAACTATGTTGAAGCACTTATTTTAACTGATATTTTACATATGAATTATACTCTTATGTATGTAGATAGAATAAGAAATGTGCAGAATATGACAGTTTAATGGTGGAGGTACACACATATTGATAGATGTCTTGTAATGCACTGTTGAGGAACCTGTGACCCAAGTGTTTCATTCATTGCATAACTACACCGTAGTTGTGTATATGATATGTCAATACACCTTTGAAAATCTTGAAAGGGATGTGCAAAATAGCCATAATATACAGTCTTTAATTAACTATTAGTAGAGAATAACGAGTAATGAATATACTTTATTACTCGTTTCCATTCATGTCAATTGCAGATACATGTTTAGTCTTCTCAAGCACCAACTATCAAATATCTCTCCTGATTGTTGGCACTTGACAATCACCTTACCTGAATTTTACTCAGGTGTAACTAAAGTCTAATTTAAGGGTTGTTTATAGGGGTTTAACGGTATCCGTATTCGTCCCGTACCGTCACGGTTCGGACGTCACGGTTCGGCACACGCAGTCACACGACGAATACGCCTTTTTTTTATGAGTGGGAAAAAAGTGTCATTCAGGGCAGTATCCACTACACTATATATAATCCAGGGGGCGGTATTGCGCCTAAAAGCTGTTTGCCAGCCGCCCTTAAACAACAAATGAAGAACAAGAAGAAACACAACAACAAAACGAACAAAACACAAGAAGAAGAAAAGTTAGTATGGCGATTTCAGATAACACAGGAGCTAGAACCCACCTGCTTCTTTTACATCAGCTGTGTGGGAACATTTCGGGTTCCCTGTGGACTACAATAACGATGGAGTGTACGAGTGGTGGATCGGACGAGGACGGTGTGTCGCCGTTGTTCTACAGCGGTGCGGTATGCTAATGGTAACACACGCCAAACATGCTAAATCATATCAGAAGGCATCACCCAGATTTGCCAATCACCGGAGCCCGGCAAAAGACAGCAGCAGTTCAACAGCTTATCCCCGCTGTTTTTAAGAAGCCAAGAGACGTGAAAGCCGAGAGACCAAAATAAATAACGGAAGCTTTTGGCATATGTTTTTCAACGACTTTTTGCTCTTGAAACACTTTCTTATTATTTATGATGTCATATTTTCAAGACATTCTTTTTAGCTTTACAGCTTGATGAAACCTTTTTGTTTGACATCAGCCATTATAGATAATATGGCCATCTGAGTGTACTGTGTATGGTTTGTTTTTAACTGTTTAATACAGTTCATTATTCAAAAAAGAGTTCTTTATTTTTAAACTGAAACTTGCACTACTGTTCAAAAATAAATAACAACAAACCTGGAATTATGCATTTGGGACTTTTTTTTGCTTTTTCTTGTTGTACCGAACCATACCGAACCGTGACCTCCAAACCGAGGTACGAACCGAACCGTGACTTCTGTGAACCGTTACACCCCTAGTTGTTTATATTTCACATAATTAATCAGAATCTGCAAAGTAACTCAAATAAATGCAGTGGAGTAAAAATACCAGGTTAACCTCTGAATTGTAGTGGAGTAGAATTACAAAGTAACAATGAGCTGTCATGTGGGTATATATTAATGCTGCACATTATGGACACAAACGATTTTCACCCATTTATTAATTATATGTTTTACATTTGATAACACCAATGTGTTTAATACTGGCAACTTCTAATTGTGGGAAAAACGAAAACGTTCAGTAGAGACGTCCCATAGAACATTTTGCGAAACACAATAGCCAGCATGTGTAGTTCTGGGGGGGCGTTCGATTCCAGTTTTGGATAGTCTGGCGTGGTTTCGTTCCATTTCAAACAGCTGTTTGACGCTCTGCGTAACCTTACGGGGACTGTAGTCCTAAACGATAGCTGGGGATTATGGGTAGTGTAGTGTCTTCGGCCATCCTAAACTCAGAAATGTTGACAATTGCAATGATGCTCGAAATGTCCCTTATAGGCCTACGTCTGTTTCCGGTTATTTTTATTTTGAAATTCAGTTCCTGACGGACGCCAAAAAAGCCCGAGATTATGGAATTAAACCAATAAATAAAAGCAAGGATAATTGTGTGTTATTGGTGAGTAAATAACAGTGTGTTATTTTGAAAAGAATATCGAATTAGAAGGAAAAAAATATTTAAAAATACAATTTATTTTCCTCACAGACGGCAACAAAAGTCAGAAATTATACGATTTCAAATCAAAGCAATAATTGTGGCTTGATATTGAGTAAGAACATGTTTTTATGAACCACACAGCTTCCGGTCTTCCTCGACCCGACCGGAGAAAAAGACGTGCTGCAGGCAGTAGAAATACATTGCTTTTAAAATCGTGCTGTGCAACACGAAAAAAAGGGGCAAATCGTGTTGGTGAACACGAATCAATAGATTAAAAATCGTGTTGGTGAACACGAAATGCCGTGAGACTGGGTTGCATATACAATTTAACACGGTGTTACATTTCATTTAGCTGACGCTTTTATCCAAAGCGACTTACAATTATTACAATTATTACTTATATTATATATATATATATACACACGCATATATATATATATATATATATATATATATATATATGACAGACGGAATATTATTAAATATTGAACAGATTATATGAACCCCGTCTCACATAATTTACACGGTATACATTTTGAGTGATATAATGTTATTTCACACACTCAAAATTGATGTTCTGCTGTTGTTGTAGAGAAATTATTTCTGATTTGAGTTACATTTTTGAAAGTACAAGCCAGAGAATTAATCTATTTGTTTTTTCCACATTTGTTTTCACAGTGAGGAAGGCGATGAGGATATGGCTTCTGGATGCCCGAGTATTATGGGGAAGATGCCACCAAGGTCAGGAGGTACTGCAGGAGGTGCTCTGATGCTGGCAACAGAAGGGTGAAGACACCTGTGTACTGCAGGAAGTGTCAGGTCCCTCTGTGCTTCACTACCAAAAATAACTGTTACAGGGCATGGCATGACTTACTGGAGTAATACTGTAACATTCAGGGTTTGTATAACTTCTTTTTTTTTTACCCAAAAAATGCTTGTTGTATAGTGTGTTGCTAATTTTTTTTAAATACATCTGCTCCAGTTGGAGTCAAATGTTTCCTACATTTCCTAATTTTTATTGTGCAAGTAACATGCATCTCATGCAAAGAGGGAACTTCCCACACACTTCACCCACACACACCACACACACCCACTTCATTCTTTTATTTTTTTTACAATAATTATTTTGTTTTTTGTTATGGAATGAATACCTATAGTGATAATTAAATGTTATACAATGATCTTTACAGTCTGGTACCTGAAAAAGGTTAAATGGAACCAAATGTACCCAAATGTGCCCAAAGCTTAGTCCGCTTGGACTTTTTTTTGCTAAATCTCTCTAAAAAGATAAATTCTCACTTGTTTTGCCTCAATCTTGATACAGGGTACTTATTATATGTTATACTTTGGATTCCTAAAGCTTTTAGGCTACTAACCCATCATTCGAGGGTGGTTTTCACTATAAGTAATGGGTTTTATTTGGGCGGAGACAAGAATTTACACATTTTTGACTATGTTCCATCTGAATTTACTCTGACACTGAAACATCTTTATTGATTCTGACACTTCTACATCCAACTCACAGATGTGACCTTGCTTTGATAAAATAAATTATTCATATAACCCTCTTAGAAGTTAAGTTATAGTCCTTTGTTTTGGGCATGTCATTTTCGAGCCTGAAACCTGAAAAACAGGCTTGGGGCTTAAGAGCAATGAATACATTAAATGCTTTAACAATAAATACATAAAACGATTTAATCTGTGGAAGCCGTAGTACTGTAAAAAGCACGACCAATCATCTGAGCCGGCCCGGCTAAAGTAACTGGATGGCCTACTTGCCTGTCAGCCTTCCATCTGTGCACAAACTTATCTTGTGCCCTCATTGGTCATGTGCGCGTTCGTGTGTGTTGGCGGAGGGGCTCTGTAAGGAAGTGGCAGATTTTCTCCGGTTGTGTATTTTCAAATTCTAGCGCACTCGAGCTGGTTTCTCCAAAATGACATACCCCACCTTTAACATGACTTTTTCCTTGAACATCAATACCAGCTATTGGCTTGTCTCCAAGAGTACAGAAGCGTAAGAGATGGTGAGTATCATAAACAAAATCCTTTTCTGTCTGGTGATGGTTTGAGAATAGCCGTTAATCTTTATGTTGATGATTTTGAGATTTGTAATCCTCTTGGGACATCTCGAAAGACGCACAAACTCTGTGGTGTCTATTGGGTTTTGGGTAATTTGCCACCAGGGTCCCATTCAACACTAAACTCAATCTATCTAGCTGTTCTATCCAAATCTGATGATGTTAAGACCTATGGCTATGGAAAAGTGTTGGAGCCTCTTTTGCAAGACTTGAGCATATTAGAACAGCACAGTGTCTTTATTTCTCAGCATGGTCAGCAGTGTTGGGACTAACGCGTTAAGGCCCTGACACACCAAGCAGTCACCAGAGGACTCGCCGAAGCCGACGCCGACTGTTGCGTCGCTGTGTTCTCCTGCGTCTTGTCCATGTGTCGCACGGGAACAGTCACCGCAAAGACTTCAGTGCGTGAGTGGCAATAACTCTCCTTACCAGCAGGCAGCGGTAGTGTGTATTCGTCATTCACAAGAGGCAACAACCGGAAGACAGAGAAGAAGAACATACTGCATGATATAAACAAACAACAAATAGCGTGTGCGTTCCATTTTCGCTCTCGTCCATCGAAAACATGTTTCGTGCGGCACTGGAGCTATCAGCCATAAGAGGGGTTAGCGATAAGAAACAATGTGCCTACATAACTGTCAGTTGCAGCCCTAGCATTAGTATTGGTTATAGTAACAGCTACAACATTAAAATACTTCTAGGCAGATTGAGGAGGATAATGGGAGAATGAACAGAGGGGCAGAAACATCCATCTGAATAATAATAATAACTTTATTTTAGGGCTGTCAAACGATTACAAATTTTAATCAGATTAATCACAGCTTAAAAATGAATTAATCATGATTAATCACCATTCGAACTATGTCCAAAATATGCCATTTATTTATGTATATTGTTGTGGGAATGGAAAGATAAATGAAAGAAGGCGGATATATCAATTTAACATACAGTATCTATGTTTATTATAACGTTTTTATGCGTGTCAAAATGAAAGACAACCCACACACCTATCAATCATCAAACCGTGGGGTCTTAATTCATTACAGTGTTGATTTCTATCAACGGGGGAGTACTTCAGGAAAGTCGACAGAGGGGGGGGGCTAGTGGAGTACTTTGTGACCACAGAGTGTGAACGTTGTGATCAGCTGTTTTAGCGCAGTTCTCCAGTGAAGGGGGGGTGAGTCTCCCTTCGCAGCCGGTTGGCGTAGTTTTGGCACAATTCCGTTGTACAGACCGACGTTAACAGCAGCCCTGTCTGTGCACACGGAGACCGACTCTGTCGTCCGGTGATCTAACCGCCTTCTGGAAAAGCTTCACAAGTACGTCGGTACGCAAATGCGCTTTGTGACACAAGTGACGGTACGCATTTCAGAGAGATTACGCACATAACCTGCGTACCAGTTATGTGCACCCCTGTACTACAACAAAAGTATTCTCCGTCGGGACTTCCTGCAACAACACCACGCCGTTATCAAAGATGTTCTATTGAGAAGACATCACTACGTGACAAAAGTTTTCAAAACCGTGGCTCCTGAAATCAATCTTACTAATTGCTGTCTGTGCAATTTACTCCGCGCGAGTTGGCAGACTTTATTTTGCTTACTTTAACATCATTTTTCATGGTGGGGCTAAGCCATTTCTTGGTATGGGTGTAGCCTACCCCAGCCATACCCTGGCGCTGCCACTGGTGGCACGTATGGGGCAGGCCATTCTGCACATGCGTTAAATGCGTTAAATATTTTAACGCAATTAATTTAAAAAATTAATTACCGCCGTTAACGCGATAATTTTGACAGCACTACTTTATTTGTATCGCACCTTTCATACAGGGGATTGCAGTTCAAAGTGCTTTACATCAGTAAGAAATAAGATATAAAATCAGTGTAAAACAAGCAGCAAAGCATAAAGTGGGATAAAATAATGCAGATATATCCTATATATATATATATAGTAATCCCAACAGGCCACCTTGTTTATGGTTTGATTCAGTTGTAGTAGAATATAAAATTCATGAATGAATGATGAAATGAGCACATAAAGTGCAGACATAATATCATTATATTGAGGTATTTGAGACTAATCCTGCAACTGTATAGTTCTTTTACATTATTACATTACATTGCATTTAGCTGACGCTTTTATCCAAAGCGACTTACAATAAGTACATTCGACCAGGAAGACACAACCTTGAAGAAAACAGAATCATATAAGTACATCAGGTTTCATAGAGCCAAACGTTTCAAGTGCTACTCAACTGGCTTTAGATAAGCCAGTCCTTTATTAGTATATAAGTGCTTTGTTAATAAATCTATCGCTCGAAGTGGAGTCGAAAGAGATGAGTTTTCAGTTTGCGCCGGAAGATGTGCAAGCTATCTGCTGTCCTGATGTCAATGGGGAGCTCATTCCACCATCTTGGAGCCAGGATAGCAAACCCACGTGTTTTTGCTGATGGGAACTTGGGTCCCCCTCGCAGCGAGGGTGCAGCGAGTCGTTTGGCTGATGCAGAGCGTAGTGCACGCGCTGGGGTGTACGGTTGAACCATGTCCTGGATGTACGAAGGGCCAGATCCATTCGCAGCATGATAAGCAAGTACCAGTGTCTTGAAGTGAATTCTAGCAGTTACCGGAAGCCAGTGAAGGGAGTGGAGGAGCGGAGTGGTGTGGGAACATTTAGGAAGGTTGAAGACCAGACGAGCCGCTGCATTCTGGATGAGCTGCAGAGGTCGGATGGCACATGCAGGTAGACCAGCCAGGAGGGAGTTGCAGTAGTCTATAGGCGTGAGATGACGAGAGCCTGGACCAGAACCTGCGTCGTTTTCTGTGTCAGCTGGGGACGTATCTTCCTGATGTTGTAAAGCGTGTATCTGCAGCAACGGGTTGTAGCAGCGATGTTTGCAGTGAAGGACAGGTTGTTATCTAGGGTCACACCCAGATTCCTTGCAGTCTGAGTCGGGGAAACAACTGAGGTGCCGATGTTGATTGTTAGGTCAAGAGTGGGACAATCTTTTCCCGGAAGGAAAAGCAGCTCAGTCTTGTCAAGGTTGAGCTTGAGGTGATGAGCAGACATCCACTGAGAGATGTCAGCTAGACAAGCAGAGATGCGTGCGACGACCTGGGTCTCTGAGCGGGGAAAGGACAGAATTAATTGGGTGTCGTCAGCGTAGCAGTGGTATGAAAAACCATGCGGGCTAATGACTGATCCGAGCGAGTTTGTGTACAGGGAGAAGAGGAGGGGACCAAGAACAGAGCCCTGAGGCACCCCTGTAGTTAATTGACAAGGGTCGGACTCAGACCCTCTCCAAGTCACCCTGTAGGTACGGTCTTTGAGGTATGAGGTGAGGAGGGAAAGTGCAGAGCCTGAAACTCCAAGTTTTTGGAGAGTGCGAAGGAGGATCTGATGATTCACCGTGTTGAATGCAGCAGACAGGTCCAACAGGATGATGACAGAGGAGAGGGATGCTGTTTTGGCAGTGTGCAGTTCCTCAGTGACAGCAATGAGAGCAGTTTCTGTGGAGTGACCTGCCTTGAAACCAGACTGGTGCGGATCCAGAAGGTTGTTCTGATTCAGATAACAGGAGAGTTGTTTAAAGACAGCGCATTCAAGTGATTTAGACAGGAACGGGAGGAGAGAGACAGGCCTGTAGTTTATAACATCTGACGGGTTGAGAGTGGGTTTCTTTAGGAGAGGGTTTACTCTTGCCTCCTTGAGACTGTTTGGAAAGTGACCAGAAGTTAGAGAAGTGTTCATGAAATGGGTGAGAAACGGTAGAATATCAGGAGCGATAGTCTGAAGGAGGTTTGAAGGGATGGGGTCCAGAGGACAGGTGGTAGGGCGGGCAGAGGTAATGAGGGTGAGAACCTCACTTGGAGAGAGAGGGGAAAAGGAGATTAGTGTGTGGGTGGAAGGAGGGTCTGGTGACCCAGCGGTGAGTCAGAAAAAGAAGAGCGAATATCATCAACCTTTTTTTCAAAGTGGGTAACAAAGTCGCTTGACAGAAATGAGGAGGGGGGAGGGGCTTTTGGAGGGTCCAAGAGGGTGGAGAAGATGGAAAATAGTTTTTTGGGATTGGAATAGGAAGATTGGATCTTATCTTGAAAGAAAGTGCTTTTTGCCTGAGAGATCGAAGCAGAGAAAGAGGAGAGGAGAGCCTGATAGGTTAGGAGGTCGTCACAGTGTTTGGATTTCCACCATTTCCGCTCTGCTGCCCTAAGGACGGTTCTATTAGCACGCAGTGCATCATTTAGCCAGGGAGCAGGAGGGGACTGACGAGCCTGCCGAGATGTGAGAGGACAGAGAGAGTCCAGAGTGGATGAGAGAGTAGAGAGGAGAGTTTCTGCAGCAGAGTTTGGAGGTAGGAGTTGGAACGATTCCGAGGAAAGGAGGGCTGAGAGCACCGATGAGGCAAAGGTAGAGGGGGAGAAGGAACAAAGGTTACGGCGGACAGGTGCAAGATGAGAAGAGATTAGTTTGTTATGTTTGGAAAGGGGTAGAGAGAATGAAATGAAGAAGTGATCGGATGTGTGGAGCGGATTTACAGAGAGGTTAGAAGTAGCGCAGTTCCTTGAGAATATGAGATCAAGGACATTGCCAGCTTTATGAGTTGGTGGGGATGGAGACAGTGAGAAAGCAAAGGCGGTTAACAGAGATGTTAGTTCGTCCATCTTCCCTGTCTGGAGGTTGAAGTCTCCGAGAAGTACAGCGGGAGGACCAGTTTCAGGGATGTGTGAGAGGAGATTATCTAATTCCTCCAAGAAGTCCCCCAAGGCGCCTGGTGGACGGTAGAGAACAACAATGGTTAATTGTATAGGATGGGTTACTGTGACGGCATGGAATTCAAAGGTGGAAGGAGTGAAGTTAGGTAGCTTGAAGAGGGAAAAGCTCCATTTGGGAGAGAGCAGGAGACCAGTGCCACCTCCTCTGCCAGTTGGTCTGGGTGTATGGGAGAAGGAATATGCAGTGGAGAGAGCTGCTGGGGTGGATGTGTTGGATGGAGTAATCCAGGTCTCAGTGAGAGCAAGGAAATCCAGAGACTGCAGGGAGGCATAGCCAGAGATGAAGTCAGCCTTAGGAACAGCTGACTGGCAATTCCACAGGCCACCTGAAACTAGATGTTGGATCTCAGTGGAGCATGTGGGATAGATGAGAGCAGGCCGGTTATAGCGATTAGGAGATACACGGGGCCAGTGATAATTGGGAGAAGACACATGAACAGGAATGTAGAAAATACACATGATTATAGCATGAGGGGCTAGAAAACTAAAGAAAAGATAAATAAGACACCAGCTCAATCAGAGTAGGATTTGCCTCCTCTTTGCCTCCCTCGTGACTCCCACAGGACTCCAATGTCTTTGTCAGTCTTTGACTCCCGCAGGACTCCAATGTCTGACGCTTCCAGGAAAGAGCTACCTAAAATGGACGCCTGATTGCTGAGTTCTCACAGCTGTGGGGCCATGCCCCTCTAATTAGTTAACTCTCTACAGCTGATGGGCGACAGTAGACTGGCCCTGCCTATATTGTAATGCAGGCTTGAGTGCCCCTACTGAGACCTAACAGGTTTCGCTTGAGCAGATCTGAGATTTAAAATCTCTCAAAAGCGCCGTTTTAGCTACAATAACTACAGAACAATTATACAGAGTAGAATAAATGAAACAGAGAAGTCTAATTAAACAAGAATATAACTTACAGTGGTTGCTGCGTCAATAGGTAGTGTCGTCACCCGGTCCAGATGCACACTGAGTTCATCAGATTTTTTAAAATGCGGTATTTAAATGCTTTTTTTCTTCTCCACAACAGTTCGAGAATGAAGAAACCATCACGTATGAAAGGCTACATGTGAATAGAGGGGCAGAAACCCGGCTTGCACATTTCAATCTTGAACAATGAACACCGGTAGACAGTATCTCATTTAGTTAGACACTGTACTTAAGGACAATGTTGAGGTACTTGAGACTAATCCTGCAACTTTATATTACTGCTCCACTCCCATTCAGTGTACTTTATACCGCGCTACATTTATTTGATAACTTCAGTTAACTTTGAAGATTCAGAACACAACAAAATATAATCAAGACATATTTTATCATGTATTATTATAGGTTAAGATAAAATGTTATTGATCCCATGGTGAATTTCATATAATGTAATTTAAATCAGCTCCTCCACTTCAGCTATCTGAAGCAGAAATAAATCATTCTATGTTGTGTTATGTAATGGCTGTAGTATGAAGGTACGAAATAAAGTTTTGCATTGCCTATCCTGCAGAAACACCCATCTGAATAATGGCCACTTCTTGCTAAATTGAATGTATGGAGGTATGAATGTATGAAGGTAAGTTTTGCAATTTGCAGTATCGGTAAATAGTGGTTTATTATCCAAATAAACAATAATAATACAAAAAGTAAACATTCAATAAAAATACAATACAATAAAAATACTATGCAATACAACATTTGTATTGCCACAACTGTCTGAAAAAATTAGCCACATCTTTAAAAATGAGTTAACTTTATGTACAACAATACAGGGCAAGTGAAATGACTTGAGGTTTCATTTTCCTCTAAGCAATCGAAGAAGCTATTTTGAACCACATTCAGGAAGCGTCGCACCAGGCCGGCTAACTTCAGGGAAAACTCGGGCTTTCCGGTCCTACGAAGCTGGTTCTCTTTTTAGCAGGCTAGATCTCCATGGTAATTTATGCTTTGCGGCTAACCTGGTCGGGACCAAGTTAGGTTGCAGGCTAAGAGCTCAACTCAGTGAAAGCACTGCCTGCTGACCAATCAGAGCTCAGTGTGCGGAGTTTAAAGCGATCAAGTCATATTACAGGAGAAAGGAAATACAGAAAAGCTGCCGTTGCAGGAAAGACGGCCGGCAAAAATCACCGACTGTGTGAACGTGAACATTAATAGAATATCACCTCCATCTTCAGAGCAATCTGACTATTATAACATTAGCGTTAAGAAAGCTTACTTAAATATCTGCCACAACATAAGTAACCGGATCAGAGTAACATTAAGTACAGTCCGCGGCATATCACTTCATAATGTATCATATATTTCCTTATCTGAGTCAGCTGAGCCGTATCTGGCCGTGCAACACTCACAGTGTCACATACTGTATGCAGAAGTATTATTTTAAGCAACACATTAAGTTGAGGAAACACTCGAGTCAAATGTAATGAAAGTCAGATCGTGTTTTAGACGGGGCAGTGATATCATAAACCTGTTAATGTATGCATTCAAACACTTTTTCTTTTGCCAGCTGTATTCACCTTGCAGGTGCAGCTCTGTGGCTTTGATCCTGGATCAAGTGTTTAAGTCATGGATGTTTAAAGTTTAACTTCTTCATATGTCTAATATTATAGTTGACTTTTCATTCAGGAAGTATGACGCTGCGCTGTCAGTGCGCTTCTTCATGTTTGTGATTGGTCGAATGCTCCAGATACCACCCCTTTCATGTGAACGCGCACCTAACTAGATAGGACACGGCTGGCTTGAGTGATCCACTTGATAACCCGCGTCGTAGTACCGCTTAGCGAGAGCGCGTATGTTTAGGATTAGGCCAACCGGCTAACTCAAACATATCCAGGTTAGGTTGAACCAGCTTCGTAGTACAGGCCTCAGATGAGGTGGCAACAGCTGCAGTCTGTGCTCAAACACTTTGGATTGGGCCGCGATATCATCATCAAGTCCACTCGGGGCCAACTGTGCCAGTCTTATTTTGATCTCCTCCAGCAATGTTTTTGACGCCTCAACGGCGGACTCCTCCTGCGAATCCTGCATCATCCTGCGCTTCACCGGAGGCCTTCGAGTGCTGAGTGTGCTTAGCCTCTCTCCGAGCGGTGCCGGTGTGGTGCAGATGGTGGATTCTGCCAGGGGAGTGCAGGGCTCAGCATCAAAGTGGAAGGACTCCTCAGTGGTCGAGGTTTCACTGCTGGTGCCACCGGGGGGTGATTCTGCATCCACCGGACGTTCCTTACATTTTTTAAAAATAAATTCACAGTTTGTTGGATTTAATACCATGGCTTCTTAAAACTGTTTACTAAGCATTCATAACAAAACAATACCCTGAAATGTGTGTGCCATTAGTTTGGGGTGTGGTCAGAGGTACATTGTAGACACATTGTGATGCTCTATTCAGATGCTAAAGACATACTTCTAGAAAATTCAGAACACTACAAAATATAATCAAGTAACTTAAAAGTAACTTGCCCAACACTGATAGTCAGCTTGTTAAAGGTTCTGTCCAGTGTGTAATAGCTGACAATCTTGGAGCCCCAGGGATAGGTGGATTTGTTGAGAGTTTTTCTGCTGGGTCAGTATGCAGGTTTTGTACTGGAGTTAAATCAGAATTTCAGATTAATGTCAAGTCAGGTGCTTTCCAACTTGGAACAAGAGACATCCATGATATTCATGTCAGTCTGCTCAGGAGAATGCAACTATTTAAGCTATTTTTTACCTTCCTAGTGTTTTGTATTGTTTTTTTGTATTGTATTGAGTTTTTTCAGTCGGTGGCTTCTGATCTGGTTTCATTGTCTCGTATTACATTTGTTTCATGTCCTGTCTGTTTTTATGTATTTATTTATGCTATGTTTTTATACAGTTGTTGATGTACAGCACTTTGTTCAACTCTGTTGTTTTTAAATGTGCTATATAAATAAAATGGATTGGATTGGATAAAAAACAGTGTGTTTTAACAGAGCACCTTTCCCATGTTCACGTTAGCACCGGTTATCCTCCTGACATTGTGCATAACCTCTTCGAGGGTGTTGTTCCAGTCGAACTTGCACGCTGCATTAGTTTATTGATCTCCAAAAAATACTTCACTCTTGATGGCCTTAACACATTGATCCAGACATTTACGTACAAATGGGGGGACAGAACCAATCGCCCCCATGCCATACCACGCTCTTTCACATCTAGAAACACAATAGGTGGCAATGCACATGAAAATTGGACCTTGCTAAGATTGCTTCCCTTTGTGGTTCGGCCAATTCTACCAGAAGATGAACCAGCGTGGCAGGTGATTCTGGATCTTAAGGACATAGTTGAGCTGGTTGTGGCCCCTGTTCACACAGATGAGACCATTGCTTATCTTGAAGCCAAGATCTATGATCATAGACAGCGCTATCTTGAACTCTTTCCACATGTAAAGCTCATACCAAAACATCACTATTTAGAGCACTATCCGCAAATGATTCGTTGCTTCGGACCTCTAATTGCACTGTGGACGATGAGATTTGAGGCTAAACATAGCTTTTTCAAGCAGGTTGCTCGTCATACTAATTGCTTTAAGAATATAGCTCGTTCACAATGCTTGCCTATCAGGAGGGCAAGAGACAAGGAGGACAAATTGTTATGACAAAAAAAATAAAAAATCATAATTTGAAAAAGTATTGATTCGAAAATAATATGCTACAGTACAAGTACGTCTGGGTCTCAGTGTTTCATTCAAGCTCGGCTCTGTGTGTGTGTGGAACGAGCCATTTTGTGTGCGTGCGCGCGCGCGAGAGAGAGCGCACCGGTACCAGAGATCATTGTGGTTAGCTTCTGGTGCTAGCGAGCTACGCTAATGGGTTCCAGAGGTGGGTTTTATTTTCTAAATCTCACTAAAAAAGGTCAAAATGCACATGTTTTGCATCAATCTTGATACAGGGTACTTATTATATGTTATAGTTTGGATTCCTAGAGGTTTTTGGCTGCTATCCCATCATTCAAGGGTGGTTTTCACTATAAGTCATGTTTCTTTTTTAGACGGAAACTATCATTTAAATTGTTTTACTATGTTCAATCAGAATTTACTTTAAAGTAAAAACATCTATATTGATTCTGACATTTCTACAGCCAACTCACAGGTGTATCATTGCTTTGAGAAAAAAGATTATGAATGTACCCCTTTTAGAAGGGAAGATTTAGTCATTTGTTCTGGGCATGTAATGTTCGAGAAAAACAGGCTCCGGGCTTAACAGGTTAAATATGCTTTTAATATTTTCACACTCAATAAACCAACAGACTGTTATCATCTGTATCAGTGACAACAAGTATTTTTGAATCGTTGATCATTACCAAAAACATTACTAAATACTTGATTTCAGAAACATAATCAAGGTTTAGTGTGTCTTTGATGCAATCATATTAAAAACTATTGAAATAATACCAAATAAACATACATTAAAGTCATGTAAAAATATAAATGCACCCTTGCTTGATTCAATTGTTTAAACCTACAGATGTAGCACTTCATTTCAGACAGTTTGAAACGCGAGGGCCGTGATTGGTACGTGATCTGCCCTCGCTCAAGGGAAAACCTCCAGCTTGACTTGAGACCTCCCCCGTGATAAATAAATGTAATTATTATGAAGCCAGCTGCACTGGATCATTGATCCACCAGGGGGTGCAGTGGGGTTCCACACTGGAGCTCATGTGAAATAAAGTCAGATACAGTACGCTGGATGTACAGCGGAACTTTGTTAAGATCCATATGTCACGGATATCATACTCTGTGCTAAATAAGAGACACGTAATCATTTACAAAACATCACCATGTTGTTATTTAACAAAATAATGTTGTTTAGTCGAAAAAAAACGAACGGGAGGAAATGCAGCCCGGCTCTCGATTTTTAATCCTAATTTAATCATCATCTTCACCACGATCATTTATGTTTATGTTCGCCGAATTGACATGACATCACTGACACATATGAACAGTGTTGTGCTAGTTACTGAAAACCAGTAACTAGTTACCATTACTAGTTACTTCATTTCAAAAGTAACTCAGTTACTTTACTAGTTACTTAAACCCAAAAGTAATGCGTTACTGTGAAAAGTAACGTTTTGGTTACTTGAAAAAAGGGCTCCCATTAATGCCCTTATAGCCTTCATTTCAGTACTGTTATTGCATTGGAGAATAATACAATCTGTTGATCAACTTGACATGCATTATATGCAATCTGGATTGCATCGATATTAGCTGGCTTTCCATTTTTGTATATTCTTTCTCCAGGTAGTTGGAAAAAGTTTTCCGTCCCATATGCCGTGTGCCGCCCGGACATGCTATCATGCTAACTAGCTCCCTGAAAGCGGGTGACTCCACTGTAGCAATAGCCTGCATGTGTTCTACAACATACCGTGCAATGGCTTTATCGACTTTTCCCTGGCTAGCAGTCCCTTGGTTAAAATCCAGCCGCTGTTGCTTAGGTGGAGGTGGAGTGGCGTCGGCTGAGTCTCTGTGGTCTTAGCTACTAGCTTCGTCCCAGCATGTTGTTTTTGCAGATGTTTTAAGAGATTTGAATGACTGGTTTGGGCAGTAGATAGGATCTTTGACCCGCCAAGACACAACTTACATTTAACTAAAACGTTCTTTTCTTTGTGCTTGACAAAAGTGAAATAGTGAGAATATCTCCAGGTGGAGAAACTAGACTTGAGCTCCGCCGCCGCCATGATAGTCTTGTTAGTAAACAACACAAACACGCCCACAGCGCGTCTCCGCATGTGACACAGGAAGTATCTAAGTACATTTACTCAAGTACTGTACTTAAGTACAGTTCTCATCTCTGTTCGCCTGGCTGTTGACTATATTAAAAAAACTAACGCAGTAACGGAGTAATGCACCATGTAGTAACGGTAACTGAGTTACTGAATTTAAAAAGTAATGCGTTAGAGTACAAGTTACCGCCAAAAATAACGGCGTTACAGTAACGCGTTACTTGTAACGCGTTAGTCCCAACACTGCATTTTAATATACTGTATTCAACTTCATTAAAACGTTATTAACGTGCCTAAACTCAGTAATTCACAAAAAATATTTATATTGTAATGGAGCCTCGTCGGCAGATCAGGATCCCAACGCGTAGCGGAGGGATCTTGATCTGCATGAAGGGTGTTATTTTCCCCATAAGGAACAAGTCGCTGCACATTATCCTGCTTATTACATGGCCACATTCTCAACAAAGTAACAACATGACTCCCAATATTAATTGAAATGCTTTCATGGATTTAGAAAATGCTTTTATTGATTTAAAAAATAGTTGTATGTATTGATTTAAATTGACATGCATCCGCTAAGAAAAATAGTCCGTTGTTACCGTTTTTTAAACAGTCTGAATGAAACGGCAGCTCTCAGCTGTGTATTTACACAACTAATGGCCCATCAACCACAGCTCTCTCCCCCCCCTCCCCCCCTGATCTTTCTTCTCCAGCAGCTAAATTAACTGTAGGTTACTCTGAGTGACAAGCATACAGTTAGACACAACACTGTCATTGCAAGTGACCCTCAGTTAGTTGACTTTTATGTTCAACTGCTAAATTCGTTACTGATAAAAAAGGGCTTCTACTGTACCTAATTACCTTAACACTAGAACCGCCAGAGGTTTTTGTATAGGCCTACCTAACACCGTCAAATCCCGCTATTAGAATGCAATTTTTAACAACATAGGGTGCTACATAACACACTTTCAGGAAAAGTCACGGACTGGGAGACTTTAATATTTTATTGAAAAAAAGTTACATTGCACACACACATCACACAAATTGACCCGATTGGCGGTTCTAGTGTTAAATAAACTCACTAAGGAATGAAACCAGTTCAATACGCATTATTATTATTCTTATCATTCTTTATGAGCGCAGAAATAGTCTTAAAATCAGACCTGTTTTTTAAATGAAATCTGACGGCAGGCAGTTAGCTCTGATCACCTATGATAAATGCGCCACACCTAATCGCTGGCCATTCAGCCACAGAGCTCCCTCTATACAAATCAAACTGTAGACGGTGTGAAAGCACCTATTGTTTTAAATAATGGTCGGAATGTGACCTGTGAGCCTTCTGAATTACCGTGGGACAGCACATTCTAAACTAAAATGTTCAATCAATAAAGTAACATCTTATCTTAATAATATGTTCATATTAATAATAATAATAAATCATAGAGTATGTGTCCGAAAGGGAGCAGGAGGAAGCAAACACAAAAATATGCAAAAAATATACTGCATATTAAAGCAAACGATTGTAAAGGTAAAAGTATGAGCATAACAAATAAAGAAGTGTAATGTAAACATTTACATTATTATTATGATTATTTAATATATAAAGACTATATATTATTGAATTACAAGATTAGATATACTTTAGTTGATCTAAAATATTGATGTGTTCAAATGCTGTTCAAAACACAACTGCAAGTCCATGGAACTTGTCTTTCTGTATTTGTGAATGAAGCGCCATCTCCTGGTTAAAACCTGAAATTGAAAATCTGGCAACGCCCTCTTGGTAAATAGTGGGAGGGCTTAACATTCCTCGATACTGGTCTTAGGCAGGTCGTAGGCAGGAAGCTGTAAGCTGGAGTCTGAAATTAGGTGCTACATCTGTACGGCAGTTGAAAATCAAAAAAACGATGACGGCATTATGATCGTGAAGTCTTTTCTTATCAGCAATTATATGAAGTTTTGCTGTATAGTTTAATATTTACTTACCTAAATCAACATGCTATGGGAGCAACATACGCAGGCTAAGCTAGCAATGCAGGGCAGCGATGCTGAGCATGTTAGCCTAGCTTGTTAGCCTCAGCTAGTTTGGTAGCTTCAAACTCGATGGCAGCCAGGCCTACCTTGGCTCCTCTTTGCCCTCGTCTGCTTATCTGCTCTGAAGGAAGCTATGGGTGACGTCACAGACTCTTTAATCAGCTTTATTTACACTGCATACATTAAGGACATACCACCCGGCCCAGATTTGTAGGATGCTAAATGATCCAGTAGTTTTGTTTTAGATGTGTGTGATCTAGGTTCTGGTTTCCATGAGTTGGCCAACAGCCTGAACAAAGGCTAAAATAGGTTATGTCAGCTTTCCACTGTGGGTATAACAAATAAATGCAGAGCAGAGAGATCACAAACTGTCTAGAGAGTATGAGCGTGATGCAGTGGTTGTTCTGCAGGTGTATTTTTGTATTCCTGACACAGAAAGGGGATAATTAACAGTAATATAACTAAATAAACAACAATGACAAAAACATCAGTATCGGCCCAGAATTTTACATTTGATGCATTCTTAGTGATTGTACGATCAAGGTGAAAGCACGCTGATACAAAACAGCTTGCTTCATGTTCCTTGTGAATACCTGCACATACTGTATATCAGCAAATGATCTCTACTTCTTTAATATCATCTTTATTGTTCATATCATGTTGCTTTATCCTATATTCACCTTCTGTCTTATTTCTCTCATCTTTTTTGCTTTTCTCTACTTCCATCTTTTCCCTCTCCTTTTCCTCTTCTTTCTCTGTGGCTCGCTCTAGTCCTGCTTCCGTGTTCTCCCCCATCAGTGGGCTCCTTCTGTCCTGCAGGGCGCAGGGCAGACAGTTAGCCAGGAACAGGACAGCAGAGAGACAGAGCAGAGAGAGGACAGCCCCCACACCCAGCTCCAGCTCTCCCCCTCCCTGCCCTTCCTCTCCCCCTCCCTGCCCTTCCTCTCCCCCTCCCTGCCCTTCCTCTCCCTCTCCCTGCCCTTCCTCTCCCTCTCCCTGCCCTTCCTCTCCCTCTCCCTGCCCTTCCTCTCCCCCTCCCTGCCCTTCCTCTCCCTCTCCCTGCCCTTCCTCTCCCTCTTCTTCTTCCTCCTGGCTAGGGGTGAAGTACACAACACCCTCCTCCAGGATTGGCATGAGCACAGCTCTTTCCAGATTATTCTGACTGACCATTCCTCTGTTCCCCACATCATTCCAGTTTTTATCAGGTCTCTTAACATTGATCTTAGTCACATTATAGTAGTCACTGCTAACATTTTCACTTTCGTCCCCATCAAAGTTTGCTGCATAGATGTCGCTGTCCGACTCAACCAGCGTGTCTGTAATGTGAAGCCCGAACTTATCGCCTTCCTCATCCCTTTCCCCATCAGGCAGTAAGAAGCCGTGGTCTAGGTTGACTCTTATCCAACCCGATCCTCCAGCCAGCCTCCTGGTTCCCCCTCTTCCGCTGTCCATCCAATCCCTTTCCCCTTCACTGATAGAGTTGGAGGTGATTGGTTGGTCAGTGCAGGTAGAGACCAAAAGTTCTGCACGCAGTAAAGGCCCACCTCCATCACCCTTGGCAAAGATGCGTTGGCTGGGAATGGGTGTCACCACAACTACAGTCTCAGCCAATGAGGAGAGATGCAAGAAAAAGGGAAGGTCCCAGAAGGAAGAGAGGAGGGAGGCAGTGTCGTCACTGAACTGGAGCCAGACGCTGATGGAAGCCTCCTGCAAAGTGACAACAGGATAAGGGTGTTGAGATTATTATCAGGTGTGATTTAATACGTGAATACAAGTTGGCCAATTGTTTTCAATCAGCAGCTATCTAAATTGAATATTGTGCTATATATATATAGGGCCATATTTATTAAAAAAATTCTCTGAAGTGTTTTGCTCAAAATACCAATCAGATCACCCATTGTAGCATGCCTTATACTCTACTATTTCAGCCCTGTTACTAAAGTGCTGATTCTGGGTCTGGCCCTTTAAATGTTACCGAGCTGCTGCTGACCGCGCCCCTTTGGAGCTGCTGCTGGTCACGCCCCTTTGGAGCAGCTGCTGGTCACGCCCCTTTGGAGCTGCTGCTGGTCACGCCCCTTTGGAGCAGCTGCTGGCCACGCCCCTTTGGAGCAGCTGCTGGTCACGCCCCTTTGTCTGCATGCAAGCAGTGAGAAGAGAAGGCTGTCCACCAGCAGAAACTCAGCTAAACGCTGCCGTGATTAAACGCCATATTATGTTCCAAACCACATCAAGCATTATTTCTGAAACAGAATGGAGCTTATAATAATAATATAATAATAACTTAGATTTATATAGCGCCTTTCAGGGGACCCAAGCTCGCTTTACAGCAAAAAACCGGAGTAAAACAAACATAAACAAAAAAACAAAAACAGTCAGACAAACAGTCGGACAGACCAAACAACAAAATAAATTAGGGAGCGAAGGCCTTGGCAAACAGATGGGACTTGAAGGCCCTTTTAAAGGCGTCAAGCGTGGGGATGTTGAGGACCCACGTCCCAGAGGGTGGGGTCTGCCACACTGAAAGCTCTGTCTCCGAAGGTTCGCAGGTTGGTGCGGGGGGTGGTAAGCAGGCCGGAGTAAGAAGACCGCAGGTTCCGGGTCGGGGCATGTGGGCGGAGGAGGTCCGATAGGTACTGGCGGGCATGGGCATGGAGGGACTTGTAAGTCAGGAGGAGGATTTTATAAGATATGCAGGATTTGACTGGCAGCCAGTGTAGGTGAATGAGGGTGGGAGTGATGTGTGTGAGTACCCTGGCAGCACAGTTTTGGACGTACTGGAGCCTGTCCAGGGTTTTGTTGGGTACCCCAAACAGGACACCGTTGCAGTAGTCCAAACGGGAGGTGACAAACGCATTCTCTCTCTCGGGTTTACTACAAGGACAGTACCTTTTATTTCCGGCTTCTTTACACATATTCTCTCCAGCACAGCGTTAGCTCTGAGTGTTAGCGATGCTTGCTAATGTAAACACAGACCATATTACTTGTAAACACGTTGCACATTGTTTCTGATACAGCAACGTTTCTGATAGGGGACTATAGGTTGGGCGGGACGTTGCCAGGAGTTCAACGTAAAGCCAGCCCACATTTTAGTAATGTTGTCATGACCGCAGCAAATCTGGATAAGCTGTATTGTACCCCCGTTTTTAGAGATGTGGGTACGGAGGAAAAGAGAGAGGGTTGTATTGTACACTTTGTGAGTCTCCTTACACATGGGGACATATATTTATGTATAAAAGACATCAGAAAGTACATTTTGCATTATAGGTGACCTTTAAGAGTTGATTATATTTCACATCATTAATCCAAATCTCCAATTATCTGCCGCTCGGCCCGCAGCAGATAATTGGATGGCCTACCTGCCTGTCAGCCTTCCATCTCGTGCACAAACTTTTCTTGTTTATCTTGTACCACTGCAATATGCGATAACACTGTTGATTATTGGGATCGAGATTGTTATCGCTTGGAATATTCAAACAAATACTTAAATATACAGTGTTAATGTTTTTTTGCTTTAAGTTCGCTGCCAATATAGACCCCAGACAGTAGACAATCTAGAAAATGAAAAAATGCAATCATTATTTATATTCCAACAGTTTATTATTTATTTATAATTTAGGCAAATCATCTTAATGTCCTTTTTAGAACATTATCTGTTGCATTTAAACAAAAAGTATGGAGATAAATTCCTGCATAACTCCACAAACAAACGACATGTATTACAAACACCCTATGATTCTCTAACAAACACAGGGTGGTTTACAAATACAAAACATCATCTACAAACTAATGCATTTCGTAAGTAAAAAAACATATCTATCAAACAAACACATTACATTTCTATAATAAATAATGTTTCAGAAATAAATACAGCGTAGATCTTTCAAGTACACAAAAATATTTTCTACGAGTAAAAAAAAAAATCACGTGACTTTTGGCAGGAATATTCCGCCGTGGTTATGATACAAATGTCCTGAATTATTCTCCGCAGCAGGAGGGGGCTCTACTGAGTCCATTTAAACGGAGGGGGGTGGAGCAGAGCAAGTGCTGTCTGATGACAGCAGTGTTTCTAGCGCCCCCTGCTCCGTGGAGAATACCTCACATTTGTGAGAAAATCCTCAGCACAACCACGATGGAATATTCCTGTCAATAGTCACGTGCTTTTTTTTGTACTCGTAGACAATGTTTTTGTGTACTTGTAATGTCTATGCTGTATTTTGTTTCTGAAACATTACTTATTAGAGAAATGCAATGTGTTTGTTTGATAGATATGTTGTTTACTTGCAAAACCAAATGCATTAGTTTGTAGATGGTGTTTTGTACACTGTGCCTGTTAGTGAATCATAGGGTGTTTGTAATACGTGTCGTTTGTTTGTGGAGTTATGGCAGGAAGGCAGGAAAACATCCATACTACCTGGATGATTGAAATAAATAAATAAATGTATGTAAACAAGTAAAACAATCTTTCAATTTGTATGTAAACATAAACATTTAAATCCAACTGCAAGGGCTGGCCATCTGTGTTCTGGAGAATCACAGAACAGCTGGCATGCATTCATTTATTTTCCCTTTTAGGTTGCTCACTGACAGGGCAGAGGATGACAGCACTAATAAATGTAGTTTCTATTTGCCATCTACAGATAACTCTGATTATATTATGAATTCAGATTAAAGCATTGTGACACCGCCGCTGTGGGCTTTTGCATTTCAATTGAGTTCAGTTGTCCTGCCGGAGCGCACCAGAACCGAATTCTATGTCTGTTTTTCTAAAGGAAGAATACTATTTGCAGTCCACATAACTACTTGCTCAGGTCCACTGTTTTCAGTGTACACACCAATCGTTCAGATCACAGGCGGGTCTCAGGATACTGGAATCTAATATGTTATTATTTTTCTAAACCATGCACCGTTATCTAATAAGTCGGAATTACCCTTGTTTTTATTTATTTGTTTAATTGCATAATATCTGCCTTTTTTGCCATCCGTCAGGACCGAGAGACGGAGCTCGTCGGGACACCGGAAACTATGTTTTTTACTGGTTTATTTTCATTTTAAAATAAAGTGAATATTAATATTATAATGTTTTACTAACTAGATCACTGGGTCATGTTAAGACCAGCTTTTCTGTGTTGCTTTGTTTTTTTCCCATTGGTTTGGTGTTACAAATATCAAGCAATATACAGTAATAAGCCTTATTAACTATCAACATAATTATGTTGCCAGGCAACAGCTTGGGTTCATGTTGCTTCACAAACTCTGCAACAAGAACCCTACTTCAATATCTTAAAGGTCCCATGTCATGCTTTTCCGGTTATTACACATCCCCTTGTGTGTTATGAAGGTTTTTATGCATGTAAACGGTGTGCAGAGTAAAAAACCCTCAAAGTACACCCTGTAACGAGTACAATTCGCTTCGCTTGTTCTCGCTGTATCGCCAACCCGGAAGCCTGTCCGCTCCTCGCAGCAGCAACGAGCCTTTCAACGTCCCGACCAATCAGAGCACACTGGGCTCACAGGGAGGGGGAGGGGGGAGGAGCTCCAACAAGCTGTTTAGGACAGAGAGTGAATACCGGTGAATACACATACTTTACAGAGATGCTGTTTGAGAAACCAATGTGAGTTTGGAACATTGCACAATATAAATCTATTTTAGTAGACCTCAACAATCGTATTATGATCAGTAGAAATGGCCATGACATCGGCCCTTTAAGTAGGCCTAACGGAATACTTTATTGTAAATTAAAATGTAAGGAATGTGTGTATTACAAAATACATCCGTCATACACATTACCTGCTCGTCAGTTTTTTAACCATCTCCATCTAGTGGCGAAAGCAAGTTATGACTCTTATAGCGTAATTCCGAAGAAGGTAGGTTGTGTCGCTAATGTCGGCAGCATGTTCTGATGAACAGTGGCGGCTGGCCAATATAATAATAATAATACTAATTAATTATATAAATTGTCAATATTTGTGTTTAAAATATAGAATGCACCCAGAAATATGTGTAAAATATGATTTTAAAGGTCCCATGTCATGCTTTTCCGGTTATTACCCGGCGCCTTATGTGTTATGAAGGTTTTTATGCATGTAAACGGTCTGCAGAGTCAAAAACCCTCAAAGTACACCCTGTAGCGAATAAAACTCTAACACAGAAAATACCTCCCCAAAACGCCTCTTTGGAGATTTCTCATTTACTTCCTACGTAGGGATACCCAGTAGCCACGCCCAGAGCTATGGCCGATCCTCTGTCAGCCTTTCACGAAACAAAGCTTCTCAAACCTTTCAGGATGCATGCCGCATATGTACAGCGTAGGGCACTGAAGAACGATGCTGTTCCTACTTTGTTTGGACCAGCGGGGTACACAACCTGTAAGTATTCATTGTTGTTTGTGTATTTATGATGTTTAAAACAAACAAGGTATCTACCACGACTGTTTAAATGGGTAAACGTTTTTCGGGCTGCTAAGTTGGGATCGCGGAGAAATGCTCTCCGCAGACCCATGCTCACAGCGTTATAAACCTTTTTCTTACTCAATATCAAGCCACACGTTCATATCTTGAATCAGCAATTGTTTTTACTTCGGCTGTGAGTGTTTGTGTGTGCTCAGGATGAGTTTCGCTTGTTCTCGCTGTATCGCCGACCCGGAAGCCTGTCCACTCCTCGCAGCAGTGAGTTTGGAAAATTGCACAGTATAAATCTATTTTAGTATACCTCCGCAATGGAATTATGATCAGTAGAAATGGCCATGACATGGGAGCTTTAAAATAATTTGCGCAAAATATATGCTTTTCCTAGTACACTGTATGACTGAAGTACTGTGCTGGGGCGATGGAGAAATCTCCCCACAGAGTCTCTGTAGCAGGTTAGCCAATTGCTGATTCAAGATATGAACGTGTGTCATAAAATGTAGCCAATCAGCATCCTCAAAACTACTACCAGAGGGGCGATTATTGTATCGCCCCAAGTAAGCAACTGCTACGCAGCTGGACAACGGTCACAGGATTGCGGTGAGGAAACACAATGAGGAGGTGGATAAAAACAGGCATATTTTATCCAAAATAATGAAGTTTTGTGGGGCTTTTGAGCTGGCTTTGTGTGGGCATGACGGGACAGACTCTTCGGTCAACCCTGGCATTTTCAGGGGATTGGTGGATTTAGTTTCCTCCCTGCACACTGTGCTGGAGGAGCACCTGAAGACCACCACCGTTTTTAAAGGCACGTCAAAGAAGTACACCACATTGATTTTAAGAATAATAATTATTATTATTTGTTTGTTACATCTTCCGCTTTTTGTATTACTGTTGATTATACCGTTGTTCTGTAATATATATATATATATATAAATATATATGTATATATATATATTATACAGTTCATGTCAGTTCAACTTGCAAATGAAAGTCCACCTGCTGCCTTGAAAAAGCAAATCAAGTCAACTTGAAGACAATCTTTGTTTCAACTCATTAATAAGTAAATCTCGTCGATATGACTTAAAGGTTCTAGTTCATTGTTTTTTAAGTTGTCTAAGTTGATTTAACGTTATACTCAGAGTTGAAACAACTACCAATCTTACATTATTAGTGCAAGAACATTGTATTTACCTGTCAAATAAAATCACATTTCAGTATTATTATAACTCACACTTTCAAGTTCTATATTTATATAACTCATCCTTTCAAGTTAAGAATATTGTAATAATACATTTGTTTTAACTTAGATCTATTAGTTATATTGACTTCTGATTGCAAGTTCACATAAATTAATAATAATTCTTGCAGATATATAAATAAAATGTATTTAAAAAAATATGTTATACATCAACTTAAACCCAAAATGTATTTGGCAATAGACCAGATGAAAAAAGAGAAATGGCAAAATGAGAATGAACCATACAATACACTTTCATGACTAGAA